GCTGTGACCATGGGCACGTACTTGGCACAGTTCAACCCCATCCCAGATACTTGTCCCTTTTGCGGTGTGAGGGAAACCCTGGCGCACGTATATTTGGAGTGCACCAGGCTGCAGCCCCTGTTCCGGCTCCTCACAAATCTTTTATTACGTTTTTGGTTGCATTTTCCCCCTCACCTTTTATTTATGCACTCCCCATCTGTGGCCTCACAAAGTCGTGGGATCTCCTAGTGAACCTCCTCCTGGCCCTAGCTAAAACGGCCATCTATAAAACCAGAAAGAGGAGGTTGGCTGTTTGGAGTTTCCTATGACTGTGGGGCCGTTTTCCGATCCTCGGTCCGTTCATGTATCCAGGCGGAGTTTCTCTGGGCGGCATCCATCGACTCCCTGGATGCTTTTGAGGAGCGGTGGGCGCTGTCCGAGGCTCTCTGCTCGGTGTCCCCGTCTGGCTCCCTTTGTTTTGACCTTTTGGTTGGGGGAGAGAGTAAGGGACCCCAGCCCCAGCCATTGCTGCTGCGGACACCACCACCTTAGGGGGTCCTTTCACACGTGGGTGCACGTGCCCCTCCCTCCCCCCCTCCCCCTCCGGATTGTCCACCCCACAGCCTGCCCCCCTTGTTGGGTGCTTTCAGAGGAGGGAATTGTTGATGACACTCGGTCGTGACACCAAGTAACTCAAGGAGGTGGCAGACCTTGAAAGTCGATGAAGCCCCCTCACTCTGGACCACCAGGTAACTCGGAAGGGTGGAAGACCATGAGAGTTGAGGAAGCCCCCCGCTCTGGGCCCAGGCAAGCTTGAACACTTCCCTCCCCTGAAGGTAATGAGGAAACAGTTGTGATTGGTTGCTGTGTTACACATTGCATATGCTGTTTTGTTTTGTAAGTGTGTTATACAAATAAGAAACACCTTTTTTTCTTCAAAAAAAAAAAATTACTCTCCTGTAGCCATCTGGCCTGACCCTGTCACAATAAGTAAAATTATGCATTTCCTTATCTTTATCAGCATGCTTTGATACACTTCCAAAGAAGTCAGTCTGTGCTGGTGAGTGCCTAAAATTAAAAGGGTAGTGGTTTCAAACTTCTTGAGTCATTAAAAATTTCAGTATAGATACTATTTGGTTTTGACATTTTACTGATATTATACATTTTCCAAGAAGCAATTTTCACTTTTTGCTACTCAGCGCAAAAAAAAAAACAAGCAGAAAAAACAACCAACATTCAGGCAATATTATTTTATAGAATTCAAAAACACAAGAAACAAAGTTCAAAATTACAGTTCCCATAGCAAATATATTTCAGTCCTATTTTAAGTACTCTATGTATGTTCATATAGTTCTGTATCCTATTAGTATATAGTCTCAATGTGGCCAAATTACCACTGCTCTAGGAAACAACTTCTAGTGCACTATGAGGATTCACATGTCCAAAAAACCCAACTGCTTCAGAATTCTTTATTTAAAAAAATGTTTTAATAAAAAAAAATTTTAAAAATAAAAATATGCCAGCTGTCACAAGCAAACCTACAGTGACAAATTGGTTTTCACATGCAATAGTATGTGAAAATGGCAAAAACTAACTAACTTCTGGTTCAAGTTTCCAAATGGGGAGTTATATAGTCCTAATTACATTACATTGATTGAAATTATGATACCATCTACAAAGGACGCTAGTGGAATAAAACAATTTACCTTAACTAGGAAAAACCTTTAGGAAAAACAGTTTTGAACATTTTAAGATGAAAGCAAGGTCCACAGTAAAGAAACAGTGAGAGAAAGAGAATACTTGGACCGTATCCTTCAAGCATCCGTAGTAAGACTTGTAAAGTATCTTTTAATCTCAAATTTTTGTCTGAGCCTGTGCACTATGCAAGCTTACTCACTAATCCCATCCCCCCCAAAGTCATTTATTTCCATTTATCTTCCTCTCACCATTCCCAAATTCTAAGACATTAAATTTTAAATCTTTTTATATATATATTAATTAACTTACAAGATGAATATGTAACAATTAGAATATCTCACCATCAGTCAAATTCATGCCTTCCATCGTCCCACACCCACTTCGTTACCCTTTTGTGATCAACCCTTCCTATGTTATGTCTAATTTAGGATATGATCCGAAGCCTGTTAAAGTCAATGGAAAAGTCCCATGTGGTACAGTGGGCCTTGGATCAGGAGCATAGACTGCAAACCTCCCAGACCAGAGAAAGTTCATTTTTAATTGTCTGTAAAAAACTATGAACACAAATGTCACTGTGCAAATAAATAAGACCAAATAATAGATCACAACTAATCTAGCTACAAAGTCGCCTTTGGCTGTTGTTACGTGATTCCTGACAACTTGCTAGGGTTGAAAAAAAATTAATATGACTTGAAGCTACACATAAAGCAAATTCTCCTCTGTGCTGCAGTAGGTTAACGGCAGGTGGAAGTAACAGCACAGGATTTTACAATAGCACTATGGACCTGATCCAAACTTCAATGGGCTTTGAATCAAGCCTCAAGAAAGCACTCAAAGAATAGGCAGGATGCTGTCAGGTGTGTACACTCATCTAAAAACAACACATGCAAGTGGATATGGTAGATAAGAGTCTGTCTCTAACCTTCCCTTAGCTGGCTAATATGTATGTTACAATCTGCAACAAGTGCTATGAAGCAGCATAAATTTTGCTCCTGGTCAGATCAGCAGTTAATACATGCCACAGCATGCCTCCCTAGCTCATTATGGAGAATCTTGCCCAAACCAAAAGGAGGACTTCTACAAAGACAGAATTTCTGCATCATTTTGTTGTGGTGTCTAGGTAAAGACTTAGCCCTTAGAAACTGTGAGAGTAAAGAGGATACAGAATGAATACACATTGATTTTTTTCCCCATCACAATCCATTTACACACAGAGAACAGATTTGTTTCTTTTTGTCACAAAAAAATAAAATATATTTTGCACAGGTAACCGAAACAACAGAAAAATACACACTAGCATTGATACATTGTCATTTCTATGCACATTAGTTTGTGTAGTTAAAATACAGTTTCTTTCTTTCTTTAGCCACTATTTTTTTCTCTTTTCATTGTTTTAAAAGAGAAACTGTTCTGTACTAATACAATTTCTTAGTAAGGTAACTGCATCTGATTTCCATTTGAGGAATCAGTCTACCTATCCTCAGGTAGCTAATCAAGGTGTTTCATTCCTCCGTCTATTTCGTAGATTGTCTATTAACTTCAGGCAAGAGTGAATATTTATTAAAGATGGCCTGCAGAATAGACTTGTGACCTCTTTGGGTTTTAAGGTATACAAAGAAGGCTTGAAAAAAATTAATTACCGCTTGTTTTTTACATTAGAAACTCAGGTCTCATGTAACCAGGAAGACTCTGTAATGACTGATGAACTTGTGAAATGACAACATCCCAAGAGTCAAGAGAGTGAAAGGTAAAATAAGAAGATAATGGATTTTTAGTCAGATTGTTTTCAAATACTTTGGGCAGATTTTTGTTTCTTTTGTCAACAGCTCTTTAACTGGAATATCTATTTAGCACTTGGGAAAAGGGATCTCTTTGTTAAAGACACAACACACTCACCAAGAGTTCCTCCAGCAAAATCGGGAAAGACGAGACTTAATATGATATATTTAAGGTAAATTTTACAAATAAAGCCAGCTTTCCACCCCAGTCCACATATTAAAAAAATATTTACATTCTTTACACATCATAAAGATGCAAAGAAGAACACAAGCACATTTAAAAAAATAAGTCCTTTGCAGCACATCTTTAACTAAAACCACAGTAACTCTACAGCACAGTGAATCCCAAGCATATTGACCTTCAGGACAAGTTCTGAGGCCTTTCAGTTTTTTTCAGACTCTCAAGAAAGGAGTGGGATAAGAAGGGGTTAGAGAACCAAGGAGGGTGATTTTGGTTAACCCTGAATTACTAAGGAGTTAATGAGTTCAGCTCCATTCCAGCAAATATTTATGCATATGAGTGACCTTACTGATGTAGGAAGTTATTCGCCTGCATACATGTTTGCAGTATCAGGCCCTTATTTTTTTAAGATTAGTAATGTTTTACTATAGTATCTAGAGATGGATACATATGAATTGAAACATATAGCCAACAAATGAACTGCTTTGATAAACCTCAAAAATTCTGCAACATTAGCAAAGATTTCAGCTAATAGATATCAGCTCAATTACTTATTATCCTGAAGGCCTGCATATTTGAGACTCTTAGCCATTCCATCAGTATTTTTATCATCTCTTGTTTTGGGTGCAAGTCAGTCCAATGAAATTACACTCATCTAACTGGATGTGCTTTAAGTCCCCAATTTAGCAAATCACTTAAGAACTCACCTAATTTTAAGCACTCGTGCTTAAGATTGTGCTTTTTTGGCTCAGGGAGTAAGTGCATAAAATGTGAACAACAGATGTGCCTACATTAACCCTGAATGAGGCATTAAAGTGGTTTAAGGATTCATTATTTCTTACAGCTCATTAAATATAAATCTGCACACAAGTATTTTCTTTCACTAACTGTCTCTAAAGAAAATTTGGATACAATTAGCTTCTCCATAGGCAAGAGAGATTAAAAAAAAACAAAGCAACAAAAAAAGACCTAAACTACAGAGCAAATATAAATTGTTTTCAAAACAATGGCATGTCTCCAGATTATTTTATTCTACCCTAATTGAAAGGTTCTCTTTTATAGCACTTTCTTCCTTTCTGATTTCTGGTCTTTGTTCCTGACTTGCAGTCACTAGATTTAAGGCTTCACTGTATAAAGGCCATTAAAACTACCCTCATTTGAGCACCGCATCTTTTTAACATTCAAAATGATAGGCTAGCACAGATTATGTTATAATTAGAGTGGAACATATTTCAACACAACATGTATGTAGGTTGTCTTTGGAGCGGTTTCTGAAATTACACACAGCCTCTATGCTATAGATGTAGCACCTTTAAATAATCAATTTAATTCAAAGCAGTCGAGGGGAGGATTCATTCACTTACCAGTATCCAGCTGTTAGCCTTCAATTCCACAGGGTTCTGTGGTTCATTGCTGTACAGACAACATAAGCACCACATTAGAGTTTTCTGGCTCTCATCTGAAGAAACAAAAGCAAATAAGGATACATTAAAAAAAATAAAGTAAAAATATAGACAAAATGTATACACAGCAATCTTCTATCCTTGTTAAAATATCAAACAGAAGGCCCAAATGTCAATCTTAACTTTAAAGGCATCTATTCTATCAGATTCACATCACAACCTTGATATTATTCACATGTAGTTCTTGTGTGTTCGTTTCCTTCAATAGTAATTTAAAAAAACATGTAAAAGCATAGAACACAATTAACTACACAGATATTAAAAATATTCAAGCCTATACAGTATTCAGATCTTTAAAATCATGCATAGCATAGTGACTCTTTTAAAATAGTATTACAGTTAATGTGCAGTAAGTGTTTAAATATATTTGTATTTTTCTTTAATATCATTAGCCATAACAACAAGCCATTGTTAGTCAAGATTTATTACTATTTTATCATAAGCTTACCTATATATACACACCAGTAAATTAACTTTATCCCTGCAAATTTCAATTATGGATTTGTAAAGTCATTCATAACATGGGTGAAAATCTTGGGGCCCCGTAGATGGATGTATTAGACACCACATGCTGTGGCAATGTAACAGTTCTGCTGCACAGTGGAGCCAGGCCATATGGCGCATTGGAAGACTCCGCAAACACCTAAATACTGCACAACCAAGCTCGATTGTGGCTTTCTCTTCAGGACCGCAGAAGGGTAGATTGGTGAATGGATCAAAGGAAATGAATGGATGTAGCCAGTAGATCCATGCACTACACAGTTCTAACCAATACATATCTCATGTATGTGAGCAACAACAGGGCATGTCCAGTACTCCACCATACACTATACCCTGCCCATGTAAACACAGACGATTAGAAAGTTGGAGGTGAGGATTCTGATTCTAATGTCTTTTGAGCAAGTCTGTGTGCCTGCATAGCCAGTTTACTCAGACTCTTTCTCAAAATTTAGTTCTGAGCAGGAGTATAATTATTTATTTAAAAAAATGTTTTCAATATTGCTCTTTAGCAGAGGCTAAGCTTATATCTCAAATTCCAGCCCAGAGTAAAATTTTACGGTTATACTGTAAACCTACAAAAACTGGGTTTAACAGTAGAGAAGTTCTGATACAACATTAGCTTACTAAGCGCTATTATTCTTAATAATAATATAAAACAGTATTACTCAAAGGGTTTTAGGAATCATGGGAGAAGAAATTATAACATTAAAATGATTCTCTATAATGACTTTTGCTGTTCTCAGTATACTTGTCATCCAGGATGTAATAAACAGTATAATTTAGAAGTACTTTGTTGGCAAAGCCTGCAGACAAGAAATACAAGCTCCATTAAGGAACTTCTGTATTTTCACCAGGTGATCAAAGATGTTACCAGTGATTTAAACCAGTATTCTTCAATAAATGTCCAACAAGCCTGTAGGCCATCACTGGCCTCCCACTGACTAACATCTCTGCACAGAAATGGTTATCAAACACACACATTTAACTAACTACAGTTTTGTTGTTATATGCATTGGGATCTTTTTAATCTACATTTTTATGAGCCTACATAATTTCCTAGTTTGTTTAAGATCAATGTAAAAGAGGCATCTTGTGTACCATTCACTAGAAGTTCTAAATGTCCTGGTTCTGGTTTGTGCTTTCAATGTTCACTCAATAGAGACAATTAGCTTTCAGCTGTTTACACACTTTGCATTTTAACAATTTTATCATCTTCAAAAGCACTATTTCAATTTAAAAAATTCCCAGTATGAAATTATTTAGGAGAGAAATTAAACAAATAATTATTTCTTTTTGCAACTAACCCTATTACAGTCCTATACTTTTGGGAGTCAAAAAATTTAAATATTATTAAAAACACCATTGTTATAATACATGTGATTAAAATTATCTCAAAATTGCTACATTGCTAATGCAAAACCAAAAATATTTAAGTAATAAGCAGTAAAGATGCTTTATACACACAAAAGAACACAAATCCATACATCCTACAAAAAAAGAATTTAGTTCAACAATTTTCAACCCTGTCCCTGTCTTATCCCTGCTTATCCACACACATTTACAGTATGCCATACAGAAGTTCTTAATAAAAAATATGGAATTACATAATTCACACAATCAAAACTTTATTTAGTGAGAGGGAGAAGAAAAAGCAGAAGTGATGGGCGCAAAAGATTACATTGTATTATAACTGTTTAATCAGGGACTCACAGACTATACAGAACAGTTACTTACCCTACAGTAACTGTGGTTCTTCAAGACGTTCTAGTCAGCGTGGATCAGTTGATGAAAGTGGCGTCTCATGCATATGAGACTGGCCTTTTTTGACTAATAGTGTCCATTGGGGCCAGATATGTGCTCTGTGCCTCCTTGTGCTCCCATCTCAGGACATGAAGCGGGGGATGGCTGCAACCCTCTCTCAGTTCCATTGCAATTCAAAACCTTGTTGCTGAAGACTCAAAGGAGGAACAGAGAACAGGTTGTGGAATTCACACTGACTACATCATCTCAAAGAACCACAGTTACTATAGGGTAGGTAACTATTCTTTCTTTGAGAATATGTCAGTGTGGATCCCGCTCTAGATAATTGGCAAGTAACGTCCCCTGTGATCAGCAAGAATGAGGATTTTCAGCAGTGTCAGTCAAACAGTGATTGTGGCACTGTTCTTCTGAATCTGGCATCCAACCTGGCTACCATATCAAAGGCATAATGCTTAACAAAAGTGAGTGGATTGCTTCTCATGACTTTCTTGCAGATCTCAGAGACTGGCACATTCTGAAGGAGGCAGAAGATGCTGTCTGTACCCTCTCAGTGGGAGAGACTCACCAGACAGCTGACAGCCAATGCAAATACACTGTGTGACCCACTCGCAATTACACTGTGCGACCCACTGTGTGAAAGTCTCTCAAACAAGATGGCTTGACCTTCTTACAAGCTGATATGACTACAGAGAGGCAGGGGAAGAGAGCTTGAATGGTTTAGTCCTGTTGAGGTAGTAAAGCAAGGTCCTGGAAACATCCAAATACAAGGCGTCTTTTCTCTCAGAGAAGAGTGATGCTTCAGGAACAAGAGCGGTAAGGGGACAAATTATTCAGGTGGAGTTCTTATCCACTTTCGGGATGAACTTAGGAAAAGGACTCATTCACCAACCTGTTCCTCTGAAAGGATGTGTACAGTGGTCTTGTCATAATCGTCAAGGCTGATTCCCCACTCTAGTACTTCAAGTGCAGAAGGTGGGGGCCCGCAAGGATTCTAAAAATTAATACTGGCCACTTCAGGCTGGTATAAAACTTCCAAGGTTACAGCTTTTCTCTGACCTTGAATGGGTAGATGCTGCCACCACCTAAGTGCAAAAACCCCTCTGAGAACCCAGGAAGGCGCACTTGGGAATTCCTTCCTATGGGGTTCCCTCAAGCCCTCCGGGGAAGAGCTGAGAAAGAAAACAAAGGAAATCAGCTGTTGCCACCAGCTAACTAAACAACATGTGCACAAACCTCTTAAGACACAAACGCCAATCCTGTTCTTAAAAAGGTAAATTTTATTTAAAAAAAAAGAAAAATAAATCTAAATACTCAGGCTATTGCTAGATTTAAAGAGAGCAAATACAAAAATTAAGAAGCAAGAATCGCTTTCTTGAGGTTCAGCTTAAAGGTTAGAAGCAAAACAAAAGCACCTGGGGTTAGCATAGAGGAGTTCACAAGCCATAAAGAAATAAAAGAGATAAACCTAATTGCCTCTTCCTAGACATTTCCTGATCTACTTACATATCTGGGGTTTCAAATGATTAATTTCTAGATATGATCTGATGATTTTTCATACCTGGCCCAAGCTTTTACAGCATAGTTCCAGCCCTGTCTTTGCTCTCCGGGAGAACAGACAGACAGACAAAGGGGACGTTTTTTCCCCAATTTTAAAAAGTTCTAGCCTTCCCATTGGCTCTTTTGGTCAGGTGTCCACTCCCTTCCTTTTACCTATGGACTTTTTAACCCTTTACAGGTAAAGCAAGTAGAAAGCAGCTACTAAGAGGAATTTTATAGCTAACCGGCTGGCTCGGTGTCCATAAAAGGGAGTTACCCTCCCCTTCATTCATCACATGAGTGGTAACAGCTAATAGAGACTCTATAATTGCATATGTATAGTTGGGATTATGTTTTCTCATGTGCAATACTTTGCATTTATCAACACTAAATTTCATCTGCTATTTTGTTGCCCAGTCACCCAGTTTTGTGAGATCCCTTTGTAACTCTTCACAGTCTGCTTTGGACTTAGCTACATTTAGTAGTTTTGAATTATCTGCAAATTTTGCCACTGTTTACCCCTTTTTCAGATCATTTATGAATACGTTGAACAGTACTGGTCCCAGTAGAGACCGCTGGGGGACACCACTATTAACCTCTCTCCATTCTTAAAACAGACCATTTATTCCTACCCTTTGGTTCCCATCTTTGATCCAGTTACCGATCCATGACAGAACCTTCCCTCTTATCCCGTGACAGCTTACTTTGCTTAACAGCTTTCGGTGAGGGACCTTATCAAAGGCTTTCTGAAAATCTAAATACACTATATCCACTGGATCCCCCTTGTCCACATGCTTGTTGACCCTCTCAGAGAATTCTAGTAGATTGGGGAGGCATGATTTCCTTTTACAAAAACCATGTTGACTCTTCCCCAACATATCGTGTTCATCTATGTGTCTGATAATTCTGTTCTTTATTATAGTTTCAACCAATTTGCCTGGTACTGAAGTTAGGCTTACCAGCCTGTAATTGCTGGGATCGCCTCTGGAGCCTTTTTAAAAAATTGGTGTCATATTAGCTATCCTCCAGTCATCTGGTACAAAAGTGGATTTAAATGATAGGTTACATACCAGTTAGTAGTTCTGCAATTTCATATTTGAGTTCCTTCAGAACTCTTGGGTGAATACCGCTTGGTACTGGTGACTTGGTACTGGTTTAATTTATCAATTTGTTCCAAAGCCTCCTGTAATGACACCTCAATCTGGGACAGTTCCTGAGATTTGTCACCTAAAAAGAAAGGCTCAGGTTTGGGAATCTCCCTCACATCCTCAGCCATGGAGACCGATGCAAAGAATTCATTTAGTTTCTATGCAATGGCCTTATCATTCTTTTGTGCTCTCTTAGCATCTCAATTGTCCAGTGGCCCCACTAGTTGTTTAGCAGGCTTCCTGCTTCTAATATACTTAAAAATTGTTTGCTATTACTTTTTGAGTCTTTGGATAACTGTTCCTCAAATTCTTTGTTGGCCTTCCGAATTATATTTGTACATTTCTCTTGCCAGAGTTTATGCTCCTCTCTATTTTTCTCAATAGGATTTAACTTCCACTTTTTAAAGGAGGCTTTTTGCCTCTAACTGCTTCTTTTACTTTGTTGTTTTGCCATGGTGGCACTTTTTTGGTCTTCTTACTATGTTTTTTAATTTGGTGTATCCATTTAAATTGAGCAACTTGTTACGGTGTCTTTAAAAAGTTTCCATGCAGCTTGAAGGGATTTCTCTTTTGGCAACTGTACCTTTTAATTTCTGTTTAACTGACTTCTTCATGTTTGTGTAGTTCCCTTCTCTGAAATTAAATGCTACCATGGTGGGCTGCTTTGGTGTTTTCCCCCCTACAGGAATGTTAAATTTTATTATGTTATGGTCACTATTACCAAGTGGTTCAGCTACATTCACCTCTTGGACCAGATTTTGTGCCCCATTTAGGACTAAATCAAGAATTACCTCTCCTCTTGTGGGTTTCGGGACTAGTTGCTCCAACAACCAGTCATTTAAGGTGTCAAGAAACTTTATCTCTGCATCCTGTCCTGAGGTGACATGTACCCAATCAATATGGGGATTGTTGAAATCCCCCATTATTAAGGTTATGATTTAGTCATGGGTATTTTTAGTAAAAGTCACAGGCAGGTCATGGGCAATAAACAAAACTTCACGGCCCGTGACCCGTCTATGACTTATACTATAAATACCCCTGACTAAATCATGGGGCGGAGGGGAGAGAAGGCGGGTGGAGGGCGCTGCTGGAGGGAGGCCCAGTGACACAAGCTGCCGGGGACCACTGAGCAGCGTCTGCTCCAGCCGCCCGGAGACCACTACCTGTATTTTATTATCTTCCATCCTCTTCTCCTTACTAGGATATAGAGAAACTCCATTAAGAGCATCCCCTAACGGATGTCTCTGTCCAAACTACGTGTTCCTCCACACCTGTCAGCTTTCAATTCATCCTTCTGAAGAGGGGAAGGACAGTGCCAACAACATAGAGATTCTTTTACTAAGAAGAGATTTTGCAATTTCCCCAAACAAGTCTCTGGGAACAGTGGAAGAAGTCTGAGAGTTAGGCTTCCAGAAACCCTACAAAGGATTTTTAAATAACTGCTGCAAGGAGAGGTGAGAGCCTCCTGATAAAATTTTACAGACAGAAAGGATTAATTCAAGCACTTTGGGAAAGGTTCTGAGAAAAAAAAAAGGCAGGTGATCACTGAGACCCCTTACCTTGCAGATGTCTCGAAGAACCTCTTACTTATTCAAGGGAAGAGGGAGTGGATGGATTTTAGAACAGAGGCGAGATTATGGAACAATTACTATAGTTTCTGATCAATAACATAATTCAAAACAAATTATCTGCATCATCATGTTTTTATGAACTACCAAAGAATGTGCCCAGAAATTTAAAAAATACAATTTGAAAGGAAAATGCTAGAAACTCTTGCAGAACGCTAGTTTCAAGTTCTTACCATATCCTACAACAAAGGGATTCCAACAAAGTCTTCCTAGTAATTGACCAATTAAAGGGAACCTCTGAATTGCAGTAGTGGAATTCTGTAAACAAAAACATAATGTACTGAACACCAGAAATACTTGATCATCATTAATACCTAGAAAACTGTAAATTACATTATTATTTGTTTTGCTCAAGGTTTTGCTCAATTTGTTTTGTTCTGGGGAGCAGAAGTCCTTCAGATATTTAATAAAAGCAAAGCTTTCAGGCCACATCATACTTCAACAGGTCAGCTAAACCTCAACTATATTTCCCTTAGGGTAATGTTTAATTATGTTGGAAAATTAACTTCATTTTCCTTATGTGGAGTAGTCATGAAAGGCTATAATATGTGTAAATAACACAAATTTCCTGGTAGCAAAATACAATTAAAGTAGTCTGTTGATCCCTACAGTTTTCTTACATTATGCCATGGAGTTTGTGAAGAAACTAACAGAAGTTATGGCATAAAGATAAGTATCTACATATTACTACCCCTGCTTACTACATGGCAAATTACATCATAACGAGGCAGTCACAACATAAAATTTGACAGACACTGAACCTACCAAAAAAACAAGGAACATTTAACCAAATAGAAAGCAGCTTCACTATAAAAAGTAGTAGATAGTGGGGTTTATATAGACCCGTATGCAATCAGCCTTATTTTTCAGTATTTGTAGCTTTACTGTCTAATAAATGAAGGCTTTAAAAATGGTAGTGTGCTGAGATAATGTGCAAGTAGCAGAAACAATAACCCATCTCCTGCTGCTGCAATAAATTCCTCAGATTTGTCTCAGATTGGGGCTGGTCCTAGACTTTCTGGGGCCATATATAGAAGGTCCATTTGAGGCCAAACCTCAGAAAGTATTCACCGAAGTAGCAACATTAAAAAAAAACAGATTTTATTTTTATTCTCATATAAAAATATATCTATTCTTAAAATATACATACAGACACAAAAAATTCTCAACACTCAAAAATCATTTTGAAAACTGCACTTTAACTTCAGAAAAAAATTAATACTTTTCTTTTTTGTTAATCTTTACATGAGGTGAAGAGCATTTTAACCTCACAACTTGATACTGTATTATTGAAAACTGCTATGATGAATCAATGCACACAAAAGTTACAAAAAAAACACCTAAAGTTTATCTGACCCAAAAAAAAAAAAAAAAAGATTAAATACAATACTCAAATCACTAACCAGAATAGTTAGTAACATTTGCCAGTGATCTGACCGTAGTGCTGGAAATCACTACATATGCCACAGCACTAGGTTTAGCATGTCAACAGACTCTTTAGGATTTAAGGGATCAGTTACAATTTTGCATGTAAAGGCCTTTAAATAATCCAATTTATGACCTGACAACAAGAATCAAATTTGTGTTTATTTTAAAGAGTTTTTAAAAGAGTCTACTCAATTGGCTAGGAAATCTCATGTGACAACATAACCAATCAAGAAGAAAAAGCTCCTTTCACAATAAATCAGGGACACAGGAAACACATTCCTGTTTGCATTACCTGTGGCTGTTTCCCCAATTTGCCTCTCTGATCCAGCAATACATTAGGTCAATACCACAAGCCTCTCTGCTACCATTCACTTTCTGGTTTTGTCAAAAACGTGGGGTTCAGATTGTTTGAGGCAGTCTTCAAAACAGTTCATTCTTCCTGTTAAATTACTTACCATATGTTTCAAGGATTCATAAATCTGCTGTAGAAACTCCTGTAATTTAGGCAAGTGAAGGCAGACATCTTGCTGGGATTCCAAAGTGGTGGTGTGACCCCACTCAACAGCCTTATCCAGCCAATACTGAAAGCTCAATTTAGGGACAGCAGTATCTTGGGCCATCCCCTCCCCCTAAAAAAGATTAGAACTATAATCAGACATATCTAAACATACAATGGGGAAAAAGTTTGCTAACATCTCATCTGTGAAGTGGGAGGAAATTAAGACAATCTTTTTTTCAGTCTGTAGATGCTCCAAAAAGCAGTAAAGTGCTTCTATAGTTATAAGAGGGTAAAATAATGACCCCTTTATGTCAAAGTAGCAGTGATGGAATAGTAATCAGTACTTTAAAATATATCACCCAGCTGGGGCTCAGATTTTTACTATCTGAATTTGTCATCACCAATATTTCATTAGAAGAGTAGTAAAATAACATGTGGGGGGTATGTGTACACAAATGCATCTGTGCTGTGTGCAATGTATTGTTTGTGAAACTCCACTACCCATCACATCTAGTATCTTATTTTTACAAGAAGATATAACATATATTCTCACAACAAAGCTTATTTAGGATTTATTTCATACAATGAGAAATCTAAAGTATATCCAGTTTTCAAATTAGTATGAAAGTTTGAAAATAGCTTGTTATCAAAAGTGAAGAAATGTTTGAAAATTTTATATCTATTAGTATCCTTTAGCTTTTAGGACAAGAAAAGTTATTTCCTTAAAAGTTGTCTAATGAATTTAATACTCTATTTTCTGTCTTTTTCCCCTTTATTTCTTATTAAACACAGAAATTAGAAATTATTCTTACTTACAACCTTATTTATAAATCTGTTTTAATTAAAACTGCACGACACACTATATACTTGGAATGCAATATTTCACCCAGAAATATCTGGCCTAGGGGCCAGAGCAGTATGACTAACTCCAAGCATTCAAAAATCATGAACTAAAACCAAAATAAAATACTTCAAAAATTAAATTGGCTTAAAATCATGATTTTTAATCACATTTTTTACCTGCTTTCTGATTTTTCTTCACTTTTTGCGGAAGCCATCTGTGATCATCTCAGGGTCAGAATTCAACACCCCCCCATACACACCCCCTCTTTATTCACTGCTCAGATGACACTTATCTCACCCTCTCCTAAACCTTGAGTTGCGGGAAGTTGCTGTCCTAAACCATCTCTAGACAGGATAGGCAGATGTCTTACTCATGTACTCCCTACCTGCTCCTCTAGCCGTCTGTCTCCCATCTACCCTCCTAATTTACTTCCCCCTCATATTCTCATCAGTCTGCTACCTATCTCATTCTCCCCCTCTACTGCTTCCCCCTCAGTCTGTCCCTGGGCCTTCCAACATTCCTTCAGTTCTTTAGTTACCTAGCTCACTCCTTTTTCGTGTTCTCTTTCCCGACCACCACCAGTGTCATTCACTGCACCCCCATATTCTCCTGCCTCCATCTGGCGCTCACACAGCAGTCTGGCTGCAGCCCCATTGGAAACAATAGGAGAGATCGTCCATTTTGTTGGTGGAAGCCTCACTTTTATCTATAAAGGTTAAGAAGACATGGTGGTGATCTTTCTGAGAACAGTCTGTGGTTTAGTTCCATTGACAGTGAGTAGTGGGAGGTGGTGAGCATACTAGATAAGGGCAAAACTTCAAAAGTTGGTAGGCAGAAATGAGAAATTCAAGAGAACCTTTAAAAAAATATTGTGAGAGTTTGAAACACTGCAAGAATATAAAAAGCCCTCCTATCTAAAATTCTACCAAATTCCCTAATCCCCCATCCCAATAAAAAAAGGGTTTAGAAAACCAGAAGGAAAAGATTTCAATAAATTCTTGTTCATTATGTTTTTCATTTGAAAATAATATTCTCTAGTTAAAATGAAAACTTTAAACAAAGATCTCAGTGAATCTAGTGCTCATGAAAAAGCGTAGAGAGTGACCAGTGGAGAATGAGTTCCTCCATAAGATACATACAACAGTATGGACAGTGGTACAGCAGACTTTCCACAATGTGGAAAGTTACCCTGAAGGGAAGACCTCTAGGGCTGAGAGTATTCAGTGCCCGTGTCCATCCCCAATCATTGTCCTTTCTGTAAAGACTGCTAAGGCGGCTGTCAATTAGTGCCAAAAATGTGGTGGCAATTTCACGATATGGACTCTTGTTCACTGGGAGCTGAACTCAGACAATAATAGAAGCAACTGGAGTCAGTGGATACTGACCCCTAGTTTGCGACAGGGTACAACCTTTTGTAACTCTGCCCTTGTCATGCAGGCCAAGACAAAGTTCAGTCTGTTACAGTACACCTACAAGTCACAACTGCCTCACACAGACCACCATGATCTCTTTTCACACAGGCTAAATAACAGCTATGAGATGCTTACTAATTCGGCACAAAATTAACCTAGGCCAGATTAAAACTGGTGGTGAATATTTTTTTAAACAGTAATAAATAAACAGATAAATAAACAATGGACCTCAGTATTGTTTAGACTATTACAGGACTTTGGATCCTACCCAATAAGAAAACAAACAAACATTCTATTAAGTAAGATAGACCAGTTGGATGGCTAGTGTTGAAAGCATGTTTGTTTTAAAAAGTGATCAAAGGAAATGTAAACAAAGCCCACAATTTTTTTAATTAGTTACTAAACCCCTCACTTACATTTTTTGTTGCTGCTGTCAGTTGAACACTTATGGAACAGTGCAGTATCAAACTCCTATTAATCCACCACTGTCCTGTCTTATTAGCCAATAAGTATTAAAAAATAGATAATGAGATTTCATAATGCCTCTGTGGTAATAAGCACTATAACAATTAGTTACATCTGGATGTATGATTTTGGGGGGGGTAAATTAAGCCTATTTATAGTATTTTAGTGGGTGAAATTCATCCCAGTGAAGGAGGCCTACATAAGGCCCTCCACACTGCTTAAAATGAGACTTGCTACCAGAGTGGCAGTTCAGGAGAATCCTCTGCACTGCCTGATAATTGCAAAGAGGGTCTTTGTGTCAATAGCATATAGGCTTACAAAGAGAGGTGATGAAGGAAGAAATGCAGGACTTGAATACAGTATATAGATTGGACTGGGAGCCACAGGAGAGGGGCTGGGGCTGCGTAGCAAACTTCTACCCTACTCCCAGAACAGAGAGTGAATTTTCTCTTCCCTTCCCATATACTCTTCACCAAATCTGAATAAATTGTATTGCTGGCCTAGGAAAAGTCTGCAGTAAATTGCTATACAGATCATAGTGAGATGACCTATTTCAGAGGGGTGTACTTACTGTAGTCATTGTAGGCAGGAGCACCTGGACATCATTTTTAGCAAAGCACCTAAACAAGTGCTTAAATCCATTCCTGGTCAAAAAGATGCTTAACCTTCAAGCATATGTGTATATGTTTTGCTGAATCACGGTCTTGACTCTTCCAGATTGTTACCAAAGAATACATGTGAGCTGCAAATTCTCATTTGTACCTATTCTGTCCTGGGCATCCTGCCTTCTAAGATATACCTCAATGTTTGCTTTCTTCAGAGGCCTAAAACTTTCCCAGTCAAACAGCAACATTTTTGTGTACCTTTTAAACTATGGAATCTAACCCTGCAAAGGGCACTTTTCCTGAATTATCCTGAGCGTCTCCTTGATTCAGTCTATAGAACTGAAAAAATAACAAATGCAAAAATACAAAGTACACACATAGAATACTGACCTGATATATCACTTTAAATTCAAAGTCTTCCATGTGGTGCCCAAACTGATTAACAAAAATACCCCTGAGTAACCACTGGTCTTGTAATTAAAAATAAAAATAAAATAAAAAAATAACCAAATATAAAGACTGTCAAAATGAAAAAGATTGCTAACAAAATTACAGAATGGAAACTCCTCTCTGGTAATTTGGTCTATCCCCTCAGAACAGGTTTGTTCCCTAGTTTATTTTCAGAGCCAATGGAATTTCTTCAGTTAGGGATTTGCTGTTATACGCCAGCACTCCACGTCTGCTCTGACTGCCACACTCGAAACCCGATCCTGTCTTTCTACTACATTTGACGCAGATCCAGAATTTAGAAAACGGAGAAGTTCTCATTTAGTATGATTCACCTCAAGTTACTCCCTCTGCCTTCTGGAAGGGAAAATAAATCCTTGCTCCTCCTGCCTCAGAACCTCCCTATCAAACTCCCGTTGTTCTTCACTTTCAGGCAGTGAGGAACCCTGCAGAGCTTAGGCATGGGGTATTTGTTACATCCTTCAGAGACTGCGGGCAGCATTTCTAACAAGGAATGGATTAGCTTTATTCTATTGAGTGAGTTATCTGGATTAGTGTCTGAAATGTAACATATTTAGTCAGTAACTTTTGTTACCAGATTCTCGGGCACAACTCCACACGTATACCAGAATGTTCCACTTTAAGTGCTAACAAACTTACTGCTAGAATATAGTTGTCACATACCATAACCAAAACATACAGGTACAGACTACAATATGAAAGTCTGAATCCATGACTGGAAAAGTACATGAACACAAAATTAACTTGTTCTGGGAACTGAAGAATATCAAGATCTCAAAGAAGATATCAAACGAGTTTTCTTAGAACTGGAATGAATTCTATTTGCTGTAACCATCTCTTTTCCCCAAGCCTAAACAAAAACACCTTAACACACACTGTATAAATATTATTCCCCTGCAGTGGGTATAGATCCATGTTTTCCTTGGGAAACATACACATTGGCATGGAACCATCTGAGTAACAGGGACTGTTGAGCCTACAAATGCCTCCCAGCAGTTCCAAATGACTGAAATGCAGACTGTACTACTGAAGGATGACATAACCTATTTAAGCGGCAAAGAGTTCTGTGGCACCTTGTAGACTAACAGACGTATTGGAGCATAAGCTTTCGTGGGTGAATATCCACTTCGTCGGATGCTGGGTAGTCACCCACAAAAGCTTATACTCCAATACGTCTGTTAGTCTATAAGGTGCCATAGGACTCTGCCGCTTTTACAGATCCAGACTAACACGATTACCCGTCTGATACTTGATAACCTGTTTACTAGATCTATCAGCTAAAACAGGTGTGCAGTATCTAACCACGTTTCAGAGTAGCAACCGTGTTAGTCTGTAT